AGTCAATAAACATCAACCCCAACAGAGCATTCCAACTTATGCTAAACACCCTGCTCGTTCAAATCCTAGATCTAAATCTAGTAATAATTATCAAAAATGTCATCGATGCAAAGGTCCCCATGCATCTCATCGGTGCAAGTTCAAGTTAGCAACTTGTTATAAGTGCGGTAAGCAAGGTCACATTGCCAAGGCCTGCTTTGCAAAGTCTTCGTCTGTTGCTAAATCTAGCCAGTCAAGACAGTACCGCAACCAAAAGCAGCACTATGTTAACTCTCACCAAGACTACCTAACCCAACCAATGAACCACTCTACCTGTGAAAATGCTCAAACTGATTCGCAGCCGGATTTCAGCCTGTTCTCTGTTAAATCAATAAGTCATGCTCCCATCAATGTACAAGTTAATATCAACGGTAAGAGCATCAGCTTCCAACTTGACACTGGAGCATCTCTAACAGTCATAACAAAGAAAGATTTTGACGCTGTCGCAGGAGGATCAGTGCCTCTACAGCCATGTCACAAGTGCCTAACAACATACACTGGTGACAATGTTCCGGTAATAGGAGAGTGTATGGTTCATGTAAGTTATAATGGTCAAAGTGTTAAACTTCCTCTTCTTGTGGTTGAAGGAAATGGACCGCCATTACTAGGTAGGAACTGGTTAAGTGATCTTAAGTTAAATTGGGAGAGTATTTGTTCATTGAAGAATGTAAAAGAATCTAGTCTTACTTCACTAGATAAAGTTATATCTGAAAATAAATGTGTTTTTGGTAACTCTGGATTACTAAATGATAGAACAGTGAAGTTAAGCATTAAAGATACAAATCCAAGATACTGCAAAGCTAGAGTTCCACCTTATGCAATGAGGAATAAAATTGAAAATGAGCTAAGTAGATTGGAATCTAATGGCATTATAAAGAAGGTAGACTATTCCGATTGGGCAACGCCCATTGTGCCAGTGTTAAAGAAGGATGGTTCTATAAGAATTTGTGGAGATTATAAAACTACACTGAATAAGCAAATAGAGCTAAATAGGTACCCTATACCTAACATTGAGGAAATTTCTTTGAATTTGGCAGGAGGAGACAAATTCACTGAATTAGACTTTAGTCATGCTTACACTCAACTAGAACTGCATCCAGATTCAAAAGTCTATACGACAATAAACACACATAAAGGACTCTACCAATATGAAAGACTATGTTTTGGCATATCATCTAGCCCTGGAATTTTCCAAGCTGTCATGGACAGTATTTTTAAGGACATTCCAAATGTTTGTGTGTACTTTGACAATGTGTACATAACTGGTAAGAATGACACTGAACATCTTAAAACACTAGATAAAGTCTTGAAAATTGTTGGTGAAAAAGGTTTAAAGATAAACAAAGATAAATGTCAATTCATGTTGACAGAAATTAGTTTTCTTGGTTATATATTGAGCAAACAAGGCATCAGACCTCAACCTGAGAAAACAAAAGCCATTAAAGAAGCACCCAAATCTGAAAATACCCAACAACTAAGAGCTTTTTTGGGCTTGATAAATTACTATGCAAAGTTCATAGGAAATCTGTCTGGTAAACTATCACCACTGTACAAGCTGCTACAGAAAAATGCAACTTGGCACTGGGGTAAACAACAAGAAGCTGCTTTTAATACAGCAAAAGAGGCTTTGTCTGCTGACACCTTACTAACTCACTATGACCCAGGGAAAAGACTTATATTAACATGTGATGCTTCACCAGATGGTGTAGGAGCAGTCTTGTCCCACATGGATGAGAAGGGTGACAGACCCATTGCTTTTGCCAGTAGATCTTTGAACCAGGCTGAGAAAAATTATTCTCAGTTAGATAGGGAAGGCTTAGGCATCATTTTTGGTGTTAAGAAATTTCATAAGTTTCTATTTGGTAGGAAGTTCACCATCTTTACAGATCATAAACCATTGCTAGGTTTATTTGGAGAAAACAAAACCCTACCTGAGCATGCCTCACCAAGAATTCAAAGATGGGCTATCACACTAACTGCATACAATTATGAATTGAAATACAAACCTGGATCTGAGAATAGTGCAGATAGTCTTAGTAGATTACCTTTAAAAAACCAAAGCCTGAGCTATGTACCAGAAGATGTATTTGTTCTCTTCACTATCATGGATAACTCCAATATAAATGTGAATAATATTAAGAGAGAAACACAAAAAGATGAGTGCTTAATAAAAGTATATGATTACTGTAAGAATGGTTGGCCTGAAGAGTCTGTGAATGATGACTTAAGGCCATATAAAATAAGAAATTAAAACCCTTTGTGAAGATAATATAAAAGATGGAGAAGATGCAGTCCATTATCAGTCAGAGTTGCCTAAACAAAGTATTTGTAACTTAATAAATGATTATGGTGATATGGCAATTTCAAATGTTTTAAAGAGAATACATTAGTAAGAAAGAATGTGATCATCAAACAACTTTGCTAACATCATTAGCACTTACAGAAACTAAAAGGGTAACATCAAAAGAAGAAAAAGATTTTTGCCATTTAATACACCCACTTCAAATACTGGATCACAGTTGCAAAGTGATATGGTCCAGAATATTACTCATAAACAGTATTTTTGGTTACCAAAAAGCACTATCAGATTACATGAGGAAATTGATCAATCAAAGAAATCTATGTCAGTTAAGGATCTGAATAATAGCATAATACTTTCAAATGCCAATTCAAAAATAGTTCCATTAAATCATGACAAACATTCATTGAAAGAGAATTTGGTGTTAATGAGAATGTGTATCTAAGAAACTATGGGAGAAGGGAAAAATGGATACCAGGTCAAATTGTTCAATGTACAGGACCTGTGCCTTATAAAGTTAAAAATAACTTGTGCAGATAATAAGTGTGAATCTGTCAATCCCACCAAATCTGAACAGTTCACACCAACTCAGTGTTCCACAACCAAGTTCTGTTGATATGAGTGAACCAAGTTGTCTGGAGTCAGAAAATGTAAATTCTGGAGTTAATGATTTAAATCCTAGACCTCCTGAGATAGAGAATCCAGATGGTCAGAATCTTGAGTCACCAAATCAAAAGCCACTGAGAAGGTCAAGCAGGACAATCAAGGTCCCAAATAAGTTAGACCTATGATTCTAAAGGTCAAAAGGACTTTGACATTATTGTTTTGTATTTTGATTATGTTGTAGCATATGGTGCATTGTTTGTAAGGATGTAATCTACCATAGTGTTCATGTTACAATATAATTGGTGATTTTAGGATACTATCAATTGTTCTATTGAGAGATGTGTTATTGTGTTCTAAGGGTAAAGGGATGTAATAGATTGAAATAATTGTGAGGTCAAGGGAACTCACTCTTCTGTATTAGTTATATTTATAATATTGTTATCTTGAGTGATGTCCCTTGTCTACTTCCTTCCGTCCTCTCTGTGTGTTACCATCATGAGGTAGTTAGACCCAATTAAACGTGTTATATACAACCACAGGCTTCTGTCGTCAATCTATTATAATTATATTAATTTAAATGCCAAAACTGATTGACTTTAAAAAACTCGGCTTTTCAATTGTATTCTTTTTGTTTTTAAACTGAAATTTTTATTATGTTTCTATTATGTATAGGTCTATAGATTTAAATGAAATTGAAATATAGTTCATTTCTTCATCGGTACTGGTGAATTATAGACCTATAGACCTATATTTTAAATATTTTAAATTTTATACTTGTTTGAGAAATACATTTCATACCGATACAATTGTATGTATTTCATAACGTACGTCTTGATGAGTAGATCTATAGATCTAGATTTAAATCAAATTTGAATGAAGTAGTTCCTTTCTTTATATTCTAAAATCGGAAGATTCACATATAATAAAAAAATATTTAGGCACCTTATAAAACACAAAGAATAAAAGACGTATTTAAAAAACTTAACTTACGCGAATATGCCTATTCTTTCAAATTATTTTTTTAATCCCAAATTAGCCAGTTCCATAGCTAAACAAACTAAGATTTGTATAAAATAATTAAGGCCTGAAATAGTTTAATATAGAAATTTATTATTTGAATAGATTCTAGAGTAGATAGAGTCTAAATCTAGATCTTAGCGTCTTCGTCTAGTTTTTGTCTAGGTCTAGATCTATATTCTAGATCTAGAATCCAAATAGATAAAATAAATTTTATACGTTTAGGCCGGAAAAATTGTATTGTATACATTTCATAGCGTACGTAGATCTAAATCAAATTTGAATGAAATAGTTCATTCATTTCTTTTTATTCTAAACTCGGCAGATGACGTCATTAGTTGATGTATAAACATTAGTGACGTCATTATTTCATGGGTTCTTTTTCACAACTATAAACACTTTTCTGTTGCATAATTAAAACATTTTTTCTACATTCGAATATGCCTTTACTTTTTATTTTTCTTCTTTAAATAAAATGTTGGTTATACATTTAAAACATCTACCATATTATTTTCAACAAAAGTCTGTATCAAGTTCTCCATATATCGCTGCAGATTCTGATGTGATATCCGGCGAAAATATTTTGCGGACAGAGAGAGAAGTGCGCACATGGACTTTATATATTAGGATATTGGCCTACACAAAAGTCATTAAAAGTAATACAACATTTCATTAATTCTTTCTGAACTGCCGCACCCCTTCCTCTCCCCCAGGAGTGTGACGTCATAATGACTTTTATTAATCTTTAATTAACAGGATAGGTAATGTTTGTCTCATCAGTCATTAGCATCTCGTCTTTCAAGTTTTGAAAAACATGTTCAAAGCATTATTAAAAACACGTCCTAAACATATCTTTGTCAATTTGTATTTCTTTATTGTTTTTCATTTGTAGACATTTTGTTATTAGACCCCTCTCTAAAATGGATATTTCATATTTTTCCGAGACGTAGTTTTAAATGGAATTTATATAGAAAACATACTTTTAACAGTATCTGTCCCCCGAAAAATTTAGCCCCCCCCCCCCCCCCCCCCCGAAAATATCAAGCGTCCCTCCAGAGAAAAAAGTCTGGAAGAAACACTTCCTGTCCTACGCCCTAAAACTATCTAGCTTTTCCTCAGTCATATGATGAGATATTAAATATAGAATATTCTTAGATAATTGACAGGTTTAAATTACTCCATTCAAAGTATCGCAGCCTTGATTCCGGATATCATCGTCAATTAAAGTTTGTTTTATTATGGCCAAGTAATAAATATCCAAGTTCCAATCACTGTGTGCAGGTTTGATTTTTTTGCCTTTCATTTTTACCGAATTTCGCGGAAAGGAGAATGTACGGAACTTAACAAAAAGAAACAGTAAAAACAAACACACTAGTAGGCCTACTACAACTAACACGACAGATAACCAGAGGGAGCTGTGACTAGTGAAGATTGTCTCCCATGGTACTGTTGTATTGATGGGCTTGGTGGTTTCAATAAGGGCTGTAGACGAGCTATTTGTTCTGCTATTAAAAGAACTATTAGTTGTGTTGTTGACGTACGCTGTTGATGCTGCTGTAGTTAGAGTTGTCTGTGTCGTTGTGCTCTCAGAACTAAATGTGCTGCTCAAAGGCGTGCTAGAGGTATGCCGTATATTGTTGTTCGTGGTTGTTTGTATACCTGTAGTTTTCACACCCGTGGTTATGGTCTGAAACAAAACATTAAATGGATATGTGAACATTTCATCAATTAAAGGCACAGATATAATTACCTTAAGTTGTGTATTTCTTGTATAAAGTGTTTCTTCCAGACTTTTTTCTACGGGAGGGGGGGGGGGGGGATGGGGCGGGGCGGACTAAATTTTCCGGCGGGAGGCGGACACTGGTAAAAGTTTGTTTTCTATATAAATTCCATTTCGTTGAGGGGGGGGGGGGAGGAAACGCGAAGAGATGCCTGGAAGAAGCACTGCTATCTTATAGTATTGAGGAGAGGGGTGGGTGAAAAAAACCTCTCTCAGTTGATGTTACATATAAACTCTAAATGAAGTTAAGCCAACATTGTTACCTAATCTGCTTGCGCAGAACATTGTTGCTCATAGTGTTTAAAACATGCTACATGCGTCGGCTGGGTTATGTTATAAACATGCTACTCTGGTTTATATATATATATATATATATATATATATATATATATATATATATATATATATATATATATATATATATATATATATATATATATATATATATATATATATATAAACATGTATATTCTGTAACGATTTTATAACATGAAATTACGGTACCTTGAACCTGAAAGTATTGAAATTCAAGCGCGTGTTGATTAATAGCTGTCTTTCTTTGCAAGCTCCCCACCTCCCCTCCCATCTGTACATCGATTCTCTAGCTTAACGCACCTGCCACCACTCACGTTTATTATAATTAATTAAATAAAGTTTTGTTTCATTTCCGTCTGTTAAAAGAGTGAGTTTTGATTCCCTAACATTTGAAAAATGCTGAAGCGCCTCGAAAATATGGAACTAACGCACTTTCTGAAATACTGTTTTGAGATAGATGGTGTTTAAATTGGCCAAAAGATATTCGTATTTATATTTTATAATAGCCTTTTAAGAAACACAAGTATAAAAATATTGTAGTAAATAGAAAGTACCTGCACATCTGCACAATCTAAGCATGGATCGTTGCATGATGCATTGATAGTAATATTTTTTCTGTCGATTGTTTCTTCAACCTGGTTGCATTTTAAACTGTGCACACGGTTAATTTTTGATAAACTGCAGTGATAGATTATATCAGTAGTTCCATCTTTCCTCCGCTGTATAGTAAATAGTTTTATTTTTCTAGTGCGGTCAAGATGACTGTAAAGTTGGCAGTTAATATCTAATATACAATTGTTTTCCGTTCTTGTATTTAAACATTGACAAAATCTGTGAGTAAAAACAGAAAAAAAAAACAATCTTAAAATAATAGACATTTTCCTTGTCCTCATGTTAGTTTATGTAACACTTTTACGGCTACCACTTCTCATATTAGTTACTTTTCTAGAACCATTCTACCATACCAATGGTGTAATCGATGGGGTAGCGGAGTTATTACAACCCCCACCCCCTGTTAACATTTTCATGTGCCATAATACCACAGTTACTTTCTTAAATTTATTTCTGATTATAGATGTGTATATCTAGATATTATTACTTACATCCCAAAAGAAATAGACACCGTGTTAACTTGAACGGCGATTCCCCTCTCCCCCCCCTCCCCACCTGAACAGGACAGATCGTAATTCTTTAAATTGGCATTAGTGTCACACCAAGGTGTAGGCGGGGTAGGGTTAATGACCTGAGGTGATTGGAGAAAGGTAATTGCAATGTAAGTGTGCCTCACACCTGACCTGATCAGGGAAATAAATGTGGGAAAACAGTGTGTTATCTTAAAGACAGAGCCATTATTTACTGAGCGTAGACCCAGTAGCGTAGCGGGGGGGGGACATATGTACCCTGGCGCCGACCTTAGGGGGCGCCAAAATGGGTTGGAAAAATAAATTGAAAGGTTGAGGGGGTGCAAAATCGAAAGTATGAGGGGGGGGGGTGCAAGTCGAAATCTTGAGGGGGGTGCAAATCGAAAGTTTGAGGGGGGGGGGGGGGCAAATCGAAATCTCGAGGGCGGGGTGCAAATCGAAAAGTTTGTCCCCGGGCGCCGGGAAGGGTCGCTACGCCTCTGCGTAGACCAAAACAGTCGAGAGGACCATAGTGAGATAGAACAGTGCAGGGTTGGATGAAACGAGTCATTCAGTGATACAATTTAATGTCAAACTGTTAAGTCTCACGCGTCTTAATAACAGGCCATCCCTAGCAAACCATCCAAGAGAATTCTTATAAGACGTAGCTAGGTGCCTTTTACTTGAGTGTAATATTGTAGGCTACAACTAAAATTAGCTCTTTTCGGCGGCACTGGTTTTATTTAATACATAACTTATACAATTATAGGAATAACATGAAAAACATACGATGATAAAAATGATCCGGCATTGTAAAACATATACTTACCTTGTGAAGTTGCGTACTTGTGAAATATTAAATTCAGACAGAAGTTTGTCTTCTTGTTTGTCAAATGCGCATTGGGAATTTGCATGGGGGGCAAAGACGTTAGAAAACCATATTATGTAAACACATGATTTTAGTATTGCTTGACCTAAAACAACAGGTTTCATCTGAAATATAATGGTACATTTCTAAAAAAATAATTGCCATTCAATTAAATATAAATAAGGTCATTCAATTAGATTTATTTAACTTTCTAAGGTAATTTTAATCGTATCAAACTCACTACGCATGCCTTTTAGACTCATACTCTGTGCGCTAGGAAAAAAATTAACTAAAACGTAATAGGATCAAGCTAAAACTTAACCATGTTTTACAACAGTTCAAATCTCTCTTAGAAGTTAGAAAAGGCATCCGAAAACTGCAACACATTGCACGTTTTCATACACAACAAATCCTGCATGAGATTACATCAACACAACAAATCCAATATGAGACTACTCTGTAATTACTCTAACACAAAAAATCCTACTTGGGATTACATCAACACAACCTATAGCTACACATTGCATAAAATAAAATAAAACTAGGATGTAAATTGTTTCGTATATCTGAGTGTGCATTAGGCCGAGCATGGGTGTAAACCTCTGATTATCATCTCAAGTGGACGACTCTCATTGGTGCGCATGTCTTGTTTTATGTGAAAATATCATGTGTCGTCACGTGTAATTGAGGCTTGGCTTAGTCAGAAGTAGCCAACGAGAGTTCTCTGGCCGTCCAACACACATTAGTTTGTTATTGATATATATATATATATATATATATATATATATATATATATATATACTAGCTGCATCCCGTGCTCCGCCACGGTAAATCTTTTTAAATGTACAACTTTGGAACAGAACAAAACGAACAAAAACACAACCACAACACAACCACAACACAAACACAACCACAACACAACCACAACACAACACAACAACACAACCACAACGCAACCACAACACAACCACAACACAACCACAACACAACCACAACACAACACAACCACAACACAACACAACCACAACCACAACACAACCACAACACAACCACAACACAACCACAACACAACCACAACACAACCACAACACAACCACAACACAACCACAACACAACCACAACACAACCACAAAACAACCACAAAACAACCACAGCCACAACATTAGAATCACCACCTTTATTTAAGTCACAAAAATAGATTCTACTCTATAACTTACAATAAAACAATGCAATGCAAATAAATGTACGGCAAGTGGTGTTTACTTTTATGGTTCTAAGAAAACACATTGGCAATGGAATTAGAATCACCACCGAAAAACACGCTTTTCCCAGGCGTCCGCGCCCGTAGAGAGCCTTTTCAGCATTCTCTATACTATAATCCTAAAATTTCACCATCTGTTAACACCGAAAAACAAAAACAAAAAAATGTGATTTTGAGAGATCATAGACTAATTAGAAAATAATATAAATAATCTTAACATTTTTCTATTTTACTTATGAACCTTAACATATAATAATCAATGTGGAAGTAATAAAAAAATAACTTAAATTATTGAGAGTGAGTTAAATATTAAAAAAAAAAATTTTCCCATACGTCCGCGCTCAGAGAGAGCCTTTCCAGTCTTCTCAAAAAGTCAAATTTTACCATCTGTTTTCATAACACCGAAAAACAAAAGCAAAAAGAAAGTGATTTTTGAGAAATCATAGACTAATTAGAAAATAATAATAAATAATATAAATAATCTTAACATTTTTCTCTTTTAATTATGAACCTTAACATGTAATAATCAATGCGGTAGTAATAAAAAAAAATTAACTTAGATATTGATGAGTTAAATATATTTTTAAATTACCTCCCTTGCAAAAAAATTACCAAACAAAAGTTGAATTAATTAGTTTTTTCGACCTACTTTCATGAAAATATATCCATTTTTTCTAAGAATATAAACGAAAATGATATTTAACATTGATTTTTTAAGTATGTTTTAGCCATTTTCGTGTATTTAATATTTTCTTTAAGTTATGCAAAAGAGTAAACACAGTGGCAATTATAAAATAGCGCTATGTGGCTATATAAACAAACCCTACTCTACTACTTATAATAAGACACTGCGGTGCACTGTAGTTTACTTTTATAGTCCCAAAATCTATAGCGATGACGGACGGAAGGAAGGAAGGACACGCTCAGCCCGCTTATATATATACTAGCTGCATCCCGTGCTCCGCCACGGTAAATCTTTTTAAATGTACATTTTTGGAACAGAACAAAACGAACAAAAACACAACACAAACATAAACACAAACAAAACACAACCACAACACAACCACAACACAACCACAACACAACCACAATACAAACAAAACACAACACAACCACAACACAAACACAACACAACAACACAACCACAACGCAAACAAAACACAACCACAACACAACCACAACACAAACAAAACACAACCACAACACAACACAACCACAACACAACACAACCACAACACAACACAACAACAACGCAACCACAACACAACCACAACACAACCACAACACAACCACAATACAACCACAACACAACTACAACACAACCACAACACAACCACAGCCACAACATTAGAATTACCACCAAACAACACGCTTTTTTAGGTGTCCGCGCCCAAAGAGAGCCTTAATTTAAGTCACATAAATAGATCCTACTCCATAACTTACAATAAAACAATGCGATGCAAATAAATGTACGGCAAGTGGCGTTTACTTTTATGGTTCTAAGAAAACACATTGGTAATGTAATTAGAATCACCACCGAAAAACATTAAAACATTATTAAAAAATAAAACACATTTTCCCATACGTCCGCGCTCAGAGAGAGCCTTTCCATTCTTCTCAAAAAGTCTAATTTCACCATCTGTTTTCATAACACCGAAAAACAAAAGCAAAAAGATAGTGATTTTTTGAGAAATCATAGACTAATTAGAAAATAATAATAAATAATATTAATAATCTTAACATTTTTCTCTTTTAATTATGAACCTTAACATATAATAATCAATGCGGTAGTAATAAACAAAAAATTAACTTAGAATGATATTGATGAGTTAAATATATTTTCAAATTACCTCCCTTGCAAAAAATTACAAAAAAAAAAGTTGAATTAATTAGTTTCTTTGACCTACTTTCATAAAAATATATCCATTTTTTCTAGGAATATAAACGAAAATGATATTTAACATTGATTTTTTAAATATGTTTTAGCCATGTGCGTGTATTTAATATTTTATTTAAGTTATGCAAAAGAGTAAACACAGTGGCATTTATAAAATAGCTCTATGCCTCTATATAAACAAACCCTTCTCTATTACCTATAATAAGACACTGCGGTGCACTGAAAAGCACAGCATGGTGCGTAGTTTACTTTTATAGTCCCAAAATCTATAGCGATGACGGACGGAAGGAAGGAAGGACAGACACAGCCCGCTTATATTATAGATATCTATAATATAAGCGGGCTGTGTTTGTCCTTCCTTCCTTCCTTCCTTCCGTCCGTCCGTCCGTCCGTCATCGCTATAGATTTTGGGACTATAAAAGTAAACATTCGCACCATGCTGTGCTTTTCAGTGCACCGCAGTGTCTTATTATAAGTAACAGAGTAGGGTTTGTTTATATAACGGCATAGAGCTATTTTATAAATGCCACTGTGTTTACTTTTTTGCATAACGTTATGAAAATATTAAATATTTGCACATTGCTAAAACATATTAAAAAAATCAATGTCAAATATCATTTTAGTTTATATCCCTGAAAAAATGGATACATTTCCATAAAAGTAGGTCGAAAAAACTAATTAATTCAACTTTTTTTGTGTGTGGTAATTTTTTCAAGGGAGGTAATTTGAAAATATATTTAACTCAACAATAATTTAAGTTAATCTTTTTTTTTATTACTACCGCATTGATTAGTCTATGTTAAGGTTCATAATTAAAAGAGAAAAATGTTAAGATTATTTATATTATTTTCTAATTAGTCTAGGATTTCTCAAAATCACTATTTTTTGTTTTTGTTTTTTGGTGTTAACAGATGGTGAAATTTTATAATTATAGTATAGAGAATGCTGGAAAGACTCTCTCTAGGCGCGGACGTCTGGGAAAAACGTGTTTTTCGGTGGTAATTCTAATTACATTGCCAATGTGTTTTCTTAGAACCATAAAAGTAAACACCACTTGCCGTACATTCATTTGCATCGCATTGTTTTATTGTAAGTTATGGAGTAGGATCTATTTATGTGACTTAAATTTTTAATGTTGGAAAGGCTCTCTTTGGGCGCGGACGCCTAAAAAAGCGTGTTGTTTGGTGGTGATTCTAATGTTGTGGTTGTGTTGTTTTTTTTTTGGTTGTGTTGTGGTTGTTTTTTGGTTGTGTTGTGGTTGTTTTTTTGGTTGTGTTGTGGCTGTGTTGTGGTTGTG